ACGGGAACAGCGCGGGGTAACCAGGGTAACGGAGGGCGGTAACCATGGCAACCCGCCGCAGTTCCGAGCACTCAGCACCTCCCCCGCCGCTGTCGCCGTCGCCGCTGGATTCGCAGACGCCTGCGGCCGGCAGCCAGAAGGGGAAGGGGGGGGCAGCGAGCCCCGAGGTGGGCACCGGGACCCCCAAATCCCCCCTTGGGACCCCCCAAATCCCCTCCCCAGGGACCCCCAAATCCCCCCTTGGGACCCCCCAAATCCCCTCCCTACGGACCCCCAAATCCCTCCCCAGGGACCCCCAAAATCCCCCCCCAGGGACCCCCAAATCCCCCCCTGGGACCCCCAAATCCCTCCCTAGGGCCCCCAGCATCCCTTTGGGACCCCCAAATACCCCCCAGGGGCCCCCAAATCCCCCCTTTGGGACCCCAAATCCCCTCTTTGGGACCCCCAAATCTCCCTTTGAGACCCCCAAATACCCCCCTAGGGCCCCCAGCATCGCTTTGGGACACCCAAATCCCCCCCTTGGGACCCCCAAATCCCTCCCTAGGGCTCCCAGCATCCCTTTGGGACCCCCAAATCCCCCCCCAGGGACCCCCAGATCCCCCCCAGGGACCCCCAAAATCCCCCCCTTGGGACCCCCAAATACCCCCCTAGGGCCCCCAAATACCCCCTAGGGACCCCAGCATCACTTTGGGACCCCCAACTCCCCCCTTGGGACCCCCAGATACCCCCCTAGGGACCCCAGCATCGCTTTGGGACCCCCAAATCCCCCTTTGGGACACCCAAATACACCCTAGGGCCCCCAGCATCCATTTGGGACCCCCAAATCCCCCCTTGGGACCCCCAAATACCCCCCTAGGGCCCCCAGCATCCATTTGGGACCCCCAAATCCCCCCTTGGGACCCCCAAATACTCCCCCAGCATCCATTTGGGACCCCCCCCAAATGCCCCCCTAGGGACCCCAGCATCCATTTGGACCCCTAAATCCCCCCCCTTGGGACCCCTAAATCCCTCTTTGGGACCCCCAAATCCCTCTTTGTGACCCTTAAATCCCCCCTAGGGACCCCAGCATCCCTTTGGGACCCCCAACTCCCCCTTTGGGACCCCCAAATACCCCCCTAGGGACCCCAGCATCCCTTTGGGACCCCCAAATCCCCCTTTGGGACTCCCAAATACCCTCTAGGTAGCCCCAAATCCCCTTTTGGGACCCCGAAATAACCTCTTGGGACCCTTAAATCCCCTCCTAGGGCCCCCAGCATCCCCATGGGACCCCCAAATCCCCCCTTGGCACCCTGAAATCCCCCCTTGGGATGCCCAAATCCATCCCTATGGTCCTTAAATCCCACTTTGGGACCCCCAAACGCCCCCCAGGATCCCCAGTCTGAGCCTGGGACCTCCAAATCCACCCCTTTGGGCCTGCATCCCCCATGGCACCCACAGCATCCCCTTTCCCCCCCATAGCCCCCCCCAAACCCCATCTCTGCCCCCCATAGACAGCCCCAAATGCCTCTCTGACACCCATAGACCCCCTTTATCTCTCTGTAGCCACCTATAGAGCCCCCCATAGACTCTCCTTACCCCCCATAAGCCACTTCCCCCCATAACTCCCCATAGAACACCTCAAACACCCCATAGACTCCTTTACCCCCCATAACCCCATTTCATGCCCCATAGACCCCCCCAACCCCATCTCTGCCCCCATAGACCCCTTTACCCCCCTATAGAGCCCTCCATTGACCCCCTTTACCCCCCATAACCCCCTATAGAGCCCTCTATTGACCCCCTATAGAGCCCCCCATAACCCCCTCTGACCCCCATAACCCCCCCATAACCCCTATAGAGCCCCCCCATAGATTCCTATCCATACCCCCCATAACCCCCCATAGACCCTTCTCTGACCCCTATAGACCCCTTTATCCCCTCCATAATTATAACCCCCCATTGACCCCCTTTCATAACCCCCTATAGAGGCCCCCCATACCCCCTTTACCCCCCCATAACCCCCTATAGACCCACCCCCAGACCCCCTTTAACCCCCCATAACCCCCTATAGAGCCCCCATTGACCCCCTATATCCCCCCCCCCTATAGACCCCCCCATAACTCCTTATAGAGCCCCCCCCCCTATAGACCCCTTGTGACCCCCCATAACCCCCTATAGGGCCCCCCCCCATAACCCCCATATAGAGCCCCCCAGACCCCCCTTTACCCCCCCCATAACCCCCTATAGCCCCCATTGACCCCCTATAGACACCCCATAACCCCCTATAGAGCCCCCCCATAACCCCTTATAGAGCCCCCCCAGACCCCCTTTACCCCCCCATAACCCCCTATAGAGCCCCCCATTGACCTTCTTGAGCCCCCCCATTGACCCCCTTTACCCCCCCATAACCCCCTATAGACCCCCATACCCCCTATAGCACCCCCCCCTATATACCCCCCATAGCCCCCTATAGGCCCCCTATAGACCCCCTTTACCCCCATAACCCCCTATAGACCCCCCCCCATTGACCCCCTATAGAAGCCCCCCATTGACCCCCTTCCCCATAACCCCTTGTAGAGCCCCCATTGACCCCCTACAGAGCCCCCCCTTTACCCCCCATAACCCCTTATAGAGCCCCCCCAGACCTCCTTTACCCCCCATAACCCCCTATAGAGCCCCCATTGACCCCCTATAGAGCCCCCATTGACCCCCTATAGAGCCCCCCCATTGACCCCCCCATAACCCCTTATAGAGCCCCCCCAGACCCCCTTTACCCCCCCATAACCCCCTATAGAGCCCTCATTGACCCCCTTTACCCCCCCATAACCCCCTATAGACCCCCCCATAACCCCCATTTCCCCCCATAACCCCCTATAAAGCCCCCATTGACCCCCTATAGAGCCCCCCCATTGACCCCCCCCATAACCCCCTATAGACCCCCCCATAACCCCCATTTCCCCCCATAGACCCCCCCCCCGCCCGCAAGCGGGGCAAAGTCCTGGGCTCAGGCCAGCGGTACCCAAGGACCCCCAGCCGATGGTGAGTGCATCCCCCCCCCCCATATCACATGATCATCCTCTCCACACCGTGTATCACGTGAGGCTGACCACGTGACCCGCAGGCTCCCGGGCGCCGGTGCTGCCGGGCCGGTTCTCCCGGGAGGAGTTTCCCACCCTGCGGGCGGGAGGAGACCCGGAGAGGGGCGCCCGCGAGCGGGACGGTGCCGGCGCGTGGTGTGGGCGCGCACCGAGCCCCCGCCCCCACGGTGAGTGCCCGGCTCCGCCATCCCATAATGCACAGCCCATCACCAGCATCCCGTCACCGCCATCCCATAATGCACAGCCCGACACCGCCATCCCATAATGCACAGCCCATCACCAGCATCCCCTCACCGCCATCCCATAATGCACAGCCCATCACCAGCATCCCCTCACCGCCATCCCATAATGCACAGCCCATCACCAGCATCCCGTCACCGCCATCCCATAATGCACAGCCCATCACCGCCATCCCATAATGCACAGCCTGGAATGGGCATCCCATAATGCACAGCCTGCAATGGGCATCCCATAATGCACAGCCTGGAATGGGCATCCCATAATGCACGGCCCAACACCGCCATCCCATAATGCACAGCCCGACACCGCCATCCCATAATGCACAGCCTGGAATGGGCATCCCATAATGCACGGCCCGACACCGCCATCCTCTCACCGCCATCCCATAATGCACAGCCTAGAATGGGCATCCCATACTACACAGCCCGGCCCCGCCATCCCATAATGCACGGCCCGACACCGCCATCCCATAATGCACAGCCAGACACCGCCATCCCATAATGCACAGCCTGGAATGGGCATCCCATAATGCATGGCCCCTCACCGCCATCCCATAATGCACAGCCCGACACCGCCATCCCATAATGCACAGCCTGGAATGGGCATCCCATAATGCACAGCCAGACACCGCCATCCCATAATACACAGCCCGACACAGCCATCCCATAATGCACAGCCCGACACCGCCATCCCATAATGCACAGCCCGACACCGCCATCCCATAATGCACAGCCCCTCACCGCCATCCCATAATGCACAGCCCATCACCAGCATCCCGTCACCGCCATCCCATAATGCACGGTCCATAAAAGCCATCCCATAATGTGCGGCCCGACACCGCCATCCCATAATGCACGGTCCATGACCGCCATCCCATAATGTGCAACCCGACACCGCCATCCCATAATGCACGGTCCATAACCGCCATCCCCTCACCGCCATCCCATAATGCACAGCCCATCACCAGCATCCTGTCACCGCCATCCCATAATGCACGGCCCGACACCGCCATCCCCTCACCGCCATCCCATAATGCACGGCCCGACACCGCCATCCCATAATGCACATCCCATAATATGCATCTTACAGCATGCATCCCATAATGATCCTATTACCCCCCATTGCCCCCATTGCCCCCCATTACCCCCATTGACCCCCATTGACCCCCATTGACCCCCATTGACCCCATTACCCCCCATTGACCCCCATTGCCCCCCATTGCCCCCATTGCCCCCCATTGACCCCATTGACCCCCATTGCCCCCCATTGCCCCCCATTGCCCCCCATTGCCCCCCATTGACCCCCACTGACCCCCATTGCCCCCCATTACCCCCCCTGACCCCATTGACCCCCATTGACCCCCACTGACCCCCATTGCCCCCATTACCCCCCATTACCCCCCCTGACCCCCATTGCCCCCCATTGCCCCCCATTGCCCCCCATTGCCCCCCATTGACCCCCACTGACCCCCATTGCCACTCATTACCCCCCTGCCCCCATTGCCCCATTGAGCCCCCACTGACCCCCATTGCCCCCATTACCCCCCATTACCCCCCCTGACCCCCATTGCCCCCCCTGACCCCCATTGCCCCCCATTGCCCCCATTACCCCCCATTGCCCCCACATTGACCCCATTGCCCCCCATTGCCCCCCATTACCCCCATTGACCCCCATTACCCCCATTGCCCCCCATTAACCCCCATTACCCCCATTGCCCCCCATTGACCCCCATTGCCCCCCATTGTCCCCCATTACCCCCATTGCCCCCCATTGCCCCCCATTGCCCCCCATAACCCCTCCTGACCCCCATTGCCCACCACTGACCCCCATTGCCCCCCATTACCCCCCCATTACCCTATTCCCCCCATTGCCCCCCATTACCCCCCCATTGACCCCCATTCCCCCATTGACCCCCATTGCCCCCCGTTCCCCCTTTGACCCCCTATTCCCCCTTTCCCCCTCGTTCCCCCATTGTCCCCCATTACCCCCCATTGCCCCCCATTACCCCCATTACCCCCATTGCCCCCCATTGCCCCCCACTGCCCCCCACTGCCCCCCATTGCCCCCCATTACCCCCCCTGACCCCCATTGCCCCCCATTAACCCCATTACCCCCATTACCCCCATTGCCCCCCATTGACCCCCCGATTGCCCCCCATTGCCCCCCATAACCCCTCCTGAACCCCATTGACCCCCATTGACCCCCATTGCCCCCCATTACCCCCCCTGACCCCCATTGCCCCCCATTGCCCCCCATTACCCCCCATTGCCCCCATTACCCCCATTGCCCCCCATTGCCCCCCATTGCCCCCCATTGCCCCCCATTGCCCCCCATTGCCCCCCATTACCCCCCATTGCCCCCCATTGCCCCCCATTGCCCCCCATTACCCCCCATTGCCCCCCATTGCACCCTTACCCCATTGCCCCCCATTGCCCCATTGCCCCCCATTACCCCCATTGCCCCCCATTACCCCCCATTACCCCCCACTGACCCCCATTGCCCCCCATTGACCCCCATTCACCCCCATTGCCCCCCACTGACCCCCATTGCCCCCCATTGACCCCCATTGACCCCCATTGTCCCCCACTGCCCCCATTGACCCCCATTACCCCCCACTGACCCCCCCCTTGCCCCCCATTGCAGTGGGGCCGAGCCGGGACGGCGGCGCCCGAGCCCCCGAGGAGCCGCCGCCGGATGGGGGGGGGCCGCCCCCCCCCGCCCCCCCCCATTTCCCCCCATACCGGGGGGTGATGCCCCCCTTTGTGAGTACAACCAATGGGGGGGCGGGGCTAACGCAGAGCCCCGCCCCCATTAACCTGCCCCCCCCCCCCCCCAGATGTACCCCCCATACCTGCCCTTTCCCCCCCCATATGGGCCCTATAGGCTCCCGGATACCCCCAGGTGAGAGTGGGGCTCGGTGGGGGCTCTATGGGGCTCTATGGGGTTTCTATGGGGTTTTTATGGGGCTCTCTGGGGCTCTCTGGGGTTTCTATGGGGCTCTATGGGGTCTCTATGGGGCTCTGGGGGGTCTCTATGGGGCTCTATGGGGCTCTATGGGGTCTCTATGGGGTTTCTATGGGGCTTGGTGGGGTCTCTGTGGGGTCTCTATGGGGCTCTATGGGGTCTCTGGGGGGTCTCTCTGGGGGTGTCTGTGGGGCTCTATGGGGTTTCTGGGGGGTCTCTATGGGGCTCTATGGGGTGCTATGGGGCTCTATGGGGTCTCTATGGGGTTTCTATGGGGCTCGGTGGGGTGTCTGTGGGGCTCTATGGGGTTTCTATGGGGCTCTATGGGGTCTCTATGGGGCTCTGGGGGGTGTCTGTGGGGCTCTATGGGGTTTCTATGGGGCTCTGGGGGGTTTCTATGGGGCTCTATGGGGTCTCTATGGGGTTTCTGTGGGGCTCTGGGGGGTCTCTGGGGCTCTATGGGGTTTCTGGGGGGTGTCTGTGGGGCTCTATGGGGTCTCTGGGCAGTCTCTGTGGGGCTCTGGGGGTGTCTGTGGGGCTCTATGGGGTTTCTATGGGGCTCTGGGGGGTCTCTGTGGGGCTCTGTAGGGTCCCTATGGGTCTCTATGGCATCTCCAGGGGGTCTCCATGGGATCTCTATGGGTTTCTGTGGTCCCTATGGGTCTCTATGGGTCCCTATGGGTCCCTATGGGTCTCTATGGGTCTCTATGGGTCTCTATGGGTCTCTATGGGTCCCTATGTGTCTCTATGTGTCTCTATGTGTCTCCACGTGTCCCTATGGGTCTCTCTCTGTGGGTCTCTATGGGGTCTCTATGGGTCTCTATGGGTCCCTATGGGTCTCCATGTGTCCCTATGGGTCTCTATGGGTCTCTATGGGGTCTCTATGGGGTCTCTATGGGGTCTCTATAGGTCTCTATGGGTCTCTATGGGTCTCTATGGGTCCCTATGGGTCTCTATGTGTCCCTATGGGTCTCTATGTGTCTCTATGGGTCCCTATGTGTCTCCATGTGTCCCTATGGCTCTCTATGGGTCTCTATGGGTCTCTATGGGTCTCTATGGGGTCTCTATGTGTCTCTATGGGTCTCTATGGGTCCCTATGTGTCTCTATGGGTCTCCATGTGTCCCTATGTGTCTCTATGGGTCTCTGTGTCTCTATGTGTCCCTATGGGTCTCTATGTGTCTCTATGGGTCTCTATGTGTCCCTATGTGTCTCTATGGGTCTCTATGTGTCTCTATGGGTCTCTATGTGTCCCTATGTGTCTCTATGGGTCTCTATGTGTCTCTATGTGTCCCTATGTGTCCCTATGTGTCTCTATGGGTCTCTATGTGTCTCTATGTGTCCCTATGGGTCCCTATGTGTCCATGCCTGCCCCCCAGGTTCCCCCGCGGCGGTGCCCCCCCGCGCCCCACGGCGCCCCCCCGCGGGCCCCCCCCGCCCTCGCGCCCCCCGGTGCTGCGGCAGGACGAGCTGCGGGACTTCGATGAGCTGGACCAGGAGAGCGACGAGGGCTGGGCCGGTACCTGTGGGGCAGGGGGATGTGGGGGGCTATGGGGGCTATGGGGTGATGGGGGTCAATGGGGTGATGGGGGGCTATGGGGTGATGGGGGTGATGGGGGCTATGGGGTGATGGGGGCTATGGGGTGATGGGGGTGATGGGGGCTATGGGGTGATGGGGGTGATGGGGGCTATGGGGTGATGGGGGGCTATGGGGTGATGGGGGGCTATGGGGTGATGGGTTATGGGGTGATGGGGGGCAATGGGGGCTATGGGGTGATGGGGGCTATGGGGTGATGGGGGCTATGGGGTGATGGGGGCTATGGGGTGATGGGGGCTATGGGGGCTATGGGGTGATGGGGTGATGGGGGTCAGTGGGGTGATGGGGGGTAATGGGGTGATGGGGGCAATGGGGTGATGGGGGTCAGTGGGGTGATGGGGGCTATGGGGTGATGGGGGCTATGGGGCTATGGGGGGTAATGGGGGCTATGGGGTGATGGGGGGCTATGGGGTGATGGGGGGGCCATGGGGGTCTATGGGGCAATAGGGGGCTGTGGGGCAATGGGGTGTCCATGGGGGGCTATGGGGTGATGGGGGGCAATGGGGTGATGGGGGTGATGGGGGCTATGGGGGGCAATGGGGGTAATGGGGGCTATGGGGTGATGGGGGGCTATGGGGTGATGGGGTGATGGGGGTCAATGGGGTGATGGGGGTCAATGGGGCTATGGGGTGATGGGGGGTATGGGGTGATGGGGGTGATGGGGGCTATGGGGTGATGGGGGCTATGGGGTGATGGGGGCTATGGGGTGATGGGGGTGATGGGGGTGATGGGGGTGATGGGGTGATGGGGGTGATGGGGGCTATGGGGTGATGGGGGTGATGGGGGCTATGGGGTGATGGGGTGATGGGGTGATGGGGGCTATGGGGTGATGGGGGCTATGGGGTGATGGGGGTGATGGGGCGATGGGGGTGATGGGGTGATGGGGGTGATGGGGGCTATGGGGTGATGGGGGGCTGTGGGGTGATGGGGGCTATGGGATGATGGGGGTAATGGGGGCAATGGGGTAAGGGGAGTAATGGGGGTAATGGGTTCAATGGGGTAATGAGAACAATGGGGTAAGAGGGTCAATGGGGGTAATGGGGCCAATGGGGGAAAGGGGGTAATGGGGGTCAATGGGGTGATGGGGGTAATGGGGGTTATTAGGTAATGGGGGTCAATGGGGGTAATGGGGCAATGGGGCAATGGGTGTCGGGGGGTATGGTGTCAATGGGGGGCACTGGGAGTCAGTGGGGTCAATGGGGTTTAGTGGGGGTCAGTTGGAGTCAATGGGGGCAATGGGAGTCAATGGCAATGGGGGGGCTCAATGGGGCTCAATGGGGCTCAATGGGGCTCAATGGGGCTCAGTGGGCTCAATGGGCCTCAGTGGGGCTCAATGGGGCTCAATGGGGTTCAATGGTGCTCAGTGGGCTCAATGGGCCTCAGTGGGGCTCAATGGGGCTCAATGGGGCTCAGTGGGGCTCAATGGGGCTCAATGGGGTTCAATGGGGCTCAATGGGGTTCAATGGGGCTCAATGGGGTTCAGTGGGGCTCAGTGGGGCTCAATGGGGCTCAATGGGGCTCAGTGGGGCTCAGTGGGGTTCAATGGGGCTCAGTGGGGCTCAGTGGGGCCCCTGGGCGCTATGGGGCGGCTCTCACCTCCCGCCCCCTTTCCCCCCCCAGGCGCGCACGAGGAGGTCGATTACACGGAGAAGCTCAAGTTCAGCGACGAGGAGGACGGGAGGGACTCGGAGGAGGAGGGGGCAGAGGAGGGGTGAGCCCCATAGCGCCCCATAGCCCTGCCCCATAGCCCTGCCCCATAGCCCTGCCCCATAGCGCCCCATAGCCCTGCCCCATAGCCCTGCCCCATAGCGCCCCATAGCCCTGCCCCATAGCGCCCCATAGCCCTGCCCCATAGCGCCCCATAGCCCTGCCCCATAGCTCTGCCCCATAGCTCTGCCCCATAGCTCTGCCCCATAGCTCTGCCCCATAGCCCTGCCCCATAGCCCTGCCCCATAGCTCTGCCCCATAGCCCCATAGCTCTGCCCCATAGCCCTGCCCCATAGCCCTGCCCCATAGCCCTGCCCCATAGCCCTGCCCCATAGCCCTGCCCCATAGCTCTGCCCCATAGCGCCCCATAGCTAACCCTGCCCCATAGCGCCCCATAGCCCTGCCCCATAGCTCTGCCCCATAGCCCTGCCCCATAGCCCTGCCCCATAGCGCCCCATAGCCCTGCCCCATAGCGCCCCATAGCCCTGCCCCATAGCTCTGCCCCATAGCCCCATAGCCCTGCCCCATAGCTCCCCCCCATAGCGCCCCATAGCTCATCGCTCCTGCCCCATAGCTCCCCCCATAGCTCCCCCCATAGCCCTGCCCCATAGATCTGCACCATAGCTCTGGGTCACCCCATAGCTCTGCCCCATAGCTGTGGGTCACCCCATGGCTCAGCCCCATAGCTCAGCCCCATAGCTCTGCCCCATAGCTCAGGCCCATAGCGCCCCAGAGCCCTGCCCCATAGCCCTGCCCCATAGCCCTGCCCCATAGCTCTGCCCCATAGCGCCCCATAGCCCTGCCCCATAGCCCTGCCCCATAGCCCTGCCCCATAGCTCTGCCCCATAGCCCTGCCCCATAGCCCTGCCCCATAGCTCCTGCCCCATAGCTCTGCCCCATAGCTCTGCCCCATAGCGCCCCATAGCCCTGCCCCATAGCGCCCCATAGCCCTGCCCCATAGCCCTGCCCCATAGCCCTGCCCCATAGCCCTGCCCCATAGCTCTGCCCCATAGCTCTGCCCCATAGCGCCCCATAGCCCTGCCCCATAGCGCCCCAGAGCCCTGCCCCATAGCTCTGCCCCATAGCTCTGCCCCATAGCTCTGCCCCATAGCTCTGCCCCATACCCCTGCCCCATAGCGCCCCATAGCGCCCCATAGCTCTGCCCCATAGCGCTCCAGAGCTCTGCCCCATAGCTCTGCCCCATAGCGCCCCAGAGCCCTGCCCCATAGCTCTGCCCCATAGCTCTGCCCCATAGCGCCTCATAGCCCTGCCCCATAGCGCCCCATAGCCCTGCCCCATAGCCGTCCCCCCTAGCGCCTCATAGCCCTGCCCCATAGCCCTCCCCCATAGCTTTGCCCAATAGCCTTGCCCCATAGCACTCTATAGCCCTGCCCCATAGCCCTCCGCCGTAGCCTTGCCCCATAGTCCTGCCCCATAGCAACCCATAGCCCTGCCTCATAGCACTGACTTAAGCAGTCCCATAGCCCTGCCCCACAGCGCCCCATAGCCCTGCCCCACAGTGCCCCATAGTGCCCCATAGTCCTGCCCCATAGCAACCCATAGCCCTGCCTCATAGCACTGACTTACGCAGTCCCATAGCCCTGCCCCACAGCGCCCCATAGCCCTGCCCCACAGTGCCCCATAGTGCCCCATAGTCCTGCCCCATAGCAACCCATAGCCCTGCCTCATAGCACTGACTGGAGTCCTGTAGCACCCCATAGGCTAGACCTATAGTGCCCCATAGTCCTGCCCCATAGCACCTGATAGGCCTGCCCTATAGTGACTTACAGCACTGCGCCATAGCACCCCATAGCCCTACTCTAGCGCCCCATAGCCCTGCTCTATACCCCTGCCCCATAGCACCCCATAGGCTTGCCCTATAGTGATCTATAGCCCTGTCCCATAGCCTGCCCCATAGGACCCCATAGCTCTGCCCTATAATGCCCTGTAACCCTTAACCACTTTGCCCCATAGCACCCCATAGCGTGCCCCATAGCGCTCTGTAACCCGTGCTCACCCTGCCCTGTAGTGCCCCATAACCCTCCTATCGCTATGGGGCGCCCCATAACCCCCCTCTCCCCACAGGAAGGAGGCCGAGGCGCCCCCCCCCAGCGAGTCCAAGGCTTCCCCCCGGGACGAGCCGCCCCCCAAGTCCCCCTGTGAGGGGCCCAAGGAGCCGCCGGCCCCTCCCCCTCCTGCCCCACAAGTGCGGGCCCCGCCTCCACCCCCTCCGCCCCCCAACCGGGGCAGCTGGGCCCAGCCCAATGAGTTCCCGGTGAGCGCTATGGGGCGGCTATGGGGTGTCTGGGGGGGGCTATGGGGTGGCTGTGGGGCAGCTATGGGGCAGGGCTATGGGGTGTCTGGGGGGGGCTATGGGGCAGGGCTATGGGGGTCTGTGGGGTGGCTATGGGGAGGCCGTGGTGTCTCTATGGCCTCTCTATGGCCTCTCTATGGTCTCTCTATGGTCTCTCTATGGCCTCTCTATGGTCTCTCTATGGTCTCTCTATGGCTTCTCTATGGCCTCTCTATGGTCTCTCTATGGTCTCTCTATGGCCTCTCTATGCTCTCTCTATGGTCTCTCTATGGTCTCTCTATGTCCTCTCTATGGTCTCTCTATGGCCTCTCTATGGCCTCTCTATGGCCTCTCTATGGCCTCTCTATGGCCTCTCTATGGTCTCTCTATGGTCTCTCTATGGCCTCTCTATGGTCTCTCTATGGTCTCTCTATGGCCTCTCTATGGTCTCTCTATGGTCTCTCTATGGTCTCTCTATGGCCTCTCTATGGCCTCTCTATGCTCTCTCTATGGTCTCTCTATGGTCTCTCTATGGCTTCTCTATGGCCTCTCTATGGTCTCTCTATGGTCTCTCTATGCTCTCTCTATGGCCTCTCTATGGTCTCTCTATGGTCTCTCTATGGCCTCTCTATGGCCTCTCTATCCCCTCTCTATGGTCTCTCTATGGCCTCTCTATCCCCTCTCTATGGGCTCTCTATGGGCTCTCTATGGGCTCTCTATGGCCTCTCTATGGTCTCTCTATGGTCTCTCTATGGCCTCTCTATGGTCTCTATGATCTCTCTATGCCCTCTCTATCCCCTCTCTATGGCCTCTCTATGGTCTCTCTATGGTCTCTCTATGGCCTCTCTATGGCCTCTCTATGGCCTCTCTATGGTCTCTCTATGGTCTCTCTATGGTCTCTCTATCCCCTCTCTATGCCCTCTCTATGGCCTCTCTATGGTCTCTCTATGGCCTCTCTATGGTCTCTCTATCCCCTCTCTATGCCCTCTCTATGGTCTCTCTATGGTCTCTCTATGGTCTCTCTATCCCCTCTCTATGCCCTCTCTATGGTCTCTCTATGGTCTCTCTATGGCCTCTCTATGGTCTCTCTATGGCCTCTCTATGGCCTCTCTATGGTCTCTCTATGGTCTCTCTATGGTCTCTCTATGGCCTCTCTATGGCCTCTCTATCCCCTCTCTATGGCCTCTCTATCCCCTCTCTATGGTCTCTCTATGGCCTCTCTATGGTCTCTCTATGGCCTCTCTATCCCCTCTCTATGGTCTCTCTATGGCCTCTCTATGGCCTCTCTATGGTCTCTCTATGGCCTCTCTATGGTCTCTCTATGGTCTCTCTCTCTCTATGGTCTCTCTATGGTCTCTCTATGGCCTCTCTATGGCCTCTCTATGGTCTCTCTATGGTCTCTCTATGGTCTCTCTATGGCCTCTCTATGGTCTCTCTATGGTCTCTCTATGGTCTCTCTATGGTCTCTCTATGGTCTCTCTATGGTCTCTCTATGGCCTCTCTATGGTCTCTCTATGGCCTCTCTATGGTCTCTCTATGGTCTCTCTATGCTCTCTCTATGCTCTCTCTATGGCCTCTCTATGGTCTCTCTATGGCCTCTCTATGGCCTCTCTATGGTCTCTCTATGGCCTCTCTATGGCCTCTCTATGGTCTCTCTATGGCCTCTCTATGGCCTCTGTATGGTCTCTCTATGGTCTCTCTATCCCCTCTCTATGGCCTCTCTATGGTCTCTCTATGTTCTTTCTATGGTCTCTCTATGGTCTCTCTATGGCCTCTCTATGGCCTCTCTATGGTCTCTCTATGGGCTCTCTCTATGGCCTCTCTATGGTCTCTCTATGGCCTCTCTATCCCCTCTCTATGCTCTCTCTATGGTCTCTCTATGCCCTCTCTATGGTCTCTATGGCCTCTCTATGGCCTCTCTATGGTCTCTCTATGGTCTCTCTATGGTCTCTCTATGGGCTCTCTATGGGCTCTCTCTATGGCCTCTCTATGGCCTCTCTATGGCCTCTCTATGGTCTCTCTATGGTCTCTCTATGCTCTCTCTATGCTCTCTCTATGGTCTCTCTATGGTCTCTCTATGGTCTCTCTATGGCCTCTCTATGGCCTCTCTATGGCCTCTCTATGGCCTCTCTATGGCCTCTCTATGGTCTCTCTATGGTCTCTCTATGGCCTCTCTATGGTCTCTCTATGGTCTCTCTATGGCCTCTCTATGGTCTCTCTATGGTCTCTCTATGTTCTCTCTATGGTCTCTCTATGGCCTCTCTATGGTCTCTCTATGGTCTCTCTATGGTCTCTCTATGGTCTCTCTATGGCCTCTCTATGGTCTCTCTATGGTCTCTCTATGGTCTCTCTATGGTCTCTCGTTCAGGACGAGGACGAGGCCTGGCGCCAGCGCCGCCGCCGCTCCTGTTCTCTGCTCTCGGCCGCGGTGGCTCGGGCTCGGCGGCGCCGGGAGGCCGAGGAGCAGCGAGAGGAGGAGCAGCGCAGAGCGGCCTGCGCCGAGAAGCTGCGGCGCCTGGACGAGCGCAGCGGCGCCCCCTGGCGGCCGCAACAGCGCCCCCTGGCGCCCGGCGGACCGAAGCAGCCGCCCGCAGCTATGGAGCAGCAGCAGCAGCAGCAGCAGCCCGGTGTGGGGCAGCAACTGCAGCCTGGATCCGTGGGGCAGAGCGCAGCGTCTGTGGGGCAGCAGCAGCATCATGGATCTATGGGGCAGCTTCCTGGATCTATGGGGCAGCAGCAGCATCCTGGGTCTGTGGTGCAGCATCCTGCGTCTATGGGGCAGCAGCAGCATCATTCTGGATCTGTGGGGCAGCATCCTGGATCTGTGGGGCAGCAGCAGCATCATGGGTCTATGGGGCAGCATCCTGGATCTATGGGGCAGCATCCTGGATCTATGGGGCAGCAGCAGCATCCTGGATCTATGGGGCAGCAGCAGCATCATCCTGGATCTTTGGGGCAGCAGCAGCATCCTGGATCTGTGGGGCAGCTTCCTGGATCTATGGGGCAGCAGCAGCATCCTGGATCTATGGGGCAGCAACAGCATCCTGGGTCTGTGGGGCAGCATTCTGGATCTATGGGGCAGCAGCAGCATCATCCTGGGTCTTTGGGGCAGCATCCTGGATCTATGGGGCAGCAACAGCATCCTGGATCTATGGGGCAGCAACAGCATCCTGGATCTATGGGGCAGCATCTTGGATCTATGGGGCAGCAGCAGCAGCATCCTGGATCTTTGGGGCAGCAGCAGCATCCTGGATCTGTGGGGCAGCAACAGCATCCTGGATCTATGGGGCAGCATCTGCAGCAGCATCCTGGATCTATGGGGCAGCATCCTGGATCTATGGGGCAGCAACACTCTGCATCCGTGGCGCAGCAGCACTCTGTATCTACGGGGAAGCAGCATTCTGCTATGGGGCAGCATTCTGCGTCTATGGGGCAGCATCCTGCATCTATGGGGCAGCAGCTTCCTGCTCTAGGACAGCAGCAGCAACACGCCCCATCTATGGGCCAACAGCCTGCATCTGTGGGGCAGCAGCATCCCCCGGCTATGGGGCAGCAACACCCCAATATGGGGCAGCAACACCCCACATCTATGGGGCAGCATCCGACAATGGGACAAGCCCCACCTATGGAGCAGCACCCAGCTATGGGGCAGCCGCCCCCAGCTATGGGGCAGTGCCCCCCAGCTATGGGGCAGTGCCCCCCAGCTATGGGGCAGCCCCACAAGCAGGAGGAGGAGCAGGAGCGCAGCAATGGGGAAGTGGAAGGGGGGCAGAGCAGTGCAGGTAAGGGGGGGATATGGGGGCTGTAGGGGGCGGAGGCCATGTTGAGCCCCATAGATATGGGGCTGTGGGGCAGCCAAATGGGGTTGGGGGCTCAGGGCCCCATAGAGGGTTTGGGTCCCCCCCATTTGACCCCATAGCGGGGTCCTATAGGGCATCCTTATGGAAGTTGGGGGGGGGGGGGGGTGTTGGGGGTCTCGGTGTGGGTCTGGGGGATCAGGGGGTCTGTAGGGTCAGTGGGGGTCAGTGGGGGTCTATGGGGGTCTGTGGGGTCAGTGGGGGTCTATGGGGGGCAATGGGGGTCTATGGGGGTCTGTGGGGTCAGTGGGAGTCTATGGGGTCAGTGGGGGTCTATGGGGGTCTGTGGGGTCAGTGGGGGTCAGTGGGAGTCTGTGGGGTCAGTGGGGGTCTATGGGGGGCAATGGGGGTAAATGGGGTCTATGGGGGTCAGTGGCAGTCAATGGGGGTCAGTGGGGTCAGTGGGGGTCTATGGGGGGCAATGGGGGTAAATGGGGTCTATGGGGGTCAGTGGCAGTCAATGGGGGTCAATGGGGTCTATGGGGGTCAATGGGGGTAAATGGGGGTCAGTGGCAGTCAATGGGGGTCAATGGGGTCAGTGGGGGTCTATGGGGGTCAATGGGGTCTATGGGGGTCAGTGGCAGTCAATGGGGGTCAATGGGGTCTATGGGGGTCAGTGGGGTCTATGGGGGTCAGTGGGGGTCTATGGGGGTCAGTGGCTGTCAATGGGGGTCTGTGGGGTCAGTGGGGGTCTATGGGGGTCAATGGGGTCTATGGGGCAGCCCCATGGCCTGACCCCCATCTCCCCCCTGGGCCGCCCCCCGAGTGGCAGTCCCCCCCAATGGGGGTCCCCAAAGGAGGGGTCAGGGGGTCAAGTCCGGGCCCCGTCAATGGGGTCTAAGTGGGGCCCCCCGCTCAGTGGCAGTCAATGGGGGGGGGGGGGGGGGCACTTGGGGGGCAGGGAGTGGGGCTGGGGGGGGGCATTGGGGTGAATGGGGAGGGTGTGGGGCTGGGAATGGGGTGGGGAGGGAGGTGTGGGGCACAGAATGGGTGTCTATGGGGCTGCCCCCCAAGTGTGGGGCACAGAATGGGTGTCTATGGGGCTGCCCCCCAAGTGTGGGGCACAGAATGGGTGTCTATGGGGCTGCCCCATAAGTGTGGGGCACAGAATGGGTGTCTATGGGGCTGCCCCATAAGTGTAGGGCACAGAATGGGTGTCTATGGGGCTGCCCCCCAAGTGTGGGCTGCCCCCCAAGTGTGGGTCTCTGGGGCTCTATGGGTATCTATGGAGCCCTATGGGGCTGCCCCCCAAGTGTGGGTCTCTGGGGCTCTATGGGTATCTATGGAGCCCTATGGGGCTGCCCCCCAAGTGTGGGGCACAGAATGGGTGTCTGGGGGGCTGCCCCCCAAGTGTGGGGCACAGAATGGGTGTCTATGGGGCTGCCCCCCAAGTGTGGGGCTCAGGGGGTCTATGGGGCTGCCCCCACAGAGGAGGTGGGGCTGCCCCCCAAGTGTGGGGCACAGAATGGGTGTCTATGGGGCTGCCCCCCAAGTGTGGGGCTGCCCCCCAAGTGTGGGGCACAGAATGGGTGTCTGTGGGGCTGCCCCCCAAGTGTGGGGCACACAATGGGTGTCTGGGGGGCTGCCCCCAAAGTGTGGGGCACAGAATGGGTGTCTATGGGGCTGCCCCCCAAGTGTGGGGCACAGAATGGGTGTCTATGGGGCTGCCCCCCAAGTGTGGGTCTATTGGGCTCTATGGGTATCTATGGAGCCCTATGGGGCTGCCCCCCAAGTGTGGCTCTCTGGGGCTGCCCCCCAAGTGTGGGTCTCTGGGGCTGCCCCCCAAGTGTGGGTCTCTGGGCTCTATGGGGCTGCCCCCCAAGTGTGGGTCTCTGGGTTTCTCTGGGGCTGCCCCCCAAGTGTGGGTCTCTGGGGCTCTATGGGGCTGCCCCCCAAGCGTGGGTCACAGAAGTGTGGGGCACTCTGGGGGCTGCCCCCCAAGTGTGGGGCTCTGTGGGGCACACAATGGGTGTGGGGGCTGCCCCCAAGTGTGGGGCTGCCCCCCAAGTGTGGGGCACACAATGGGTGTCTATGGGGCTGCCCCCCAAGTGTGGCTCTCTGGCTCATGGGTAATGGAGCCCTATGGGGCTATGGGGCTGCCCCCCAAGTGTGGGGCTGCCCCCCAAGTGTGGGGCACACAATGGGTGTCTGTGGGGCTGCCCCCCAAGTGTGGGGCACACAATGGGTGTCTATGGGGCTGCCCCCCAAGTGTGGGGCACAGAATGGGTGTCTATGGGGCTGCCCCCCCAAGTGTGGGGCACACAATGGGTGTCTATGGGGCTGCCCCATAAGTGTGGGGCACAGAATGGGTGTCTATGGGGCTGCCCCCCAAGTGTGGGGCACAGAATGGGTGTCTATGGGGCTGCCCCCCAAGTGTGGGTCTCTGGGGCTGCCCCCCAGGTGTGGGTCTCTGGGGCTGCCCCCCAGGTGTGGGTCTCTGGGGCTGCCCCCCAAGTGTGGGGCACACAATGGGTGTCTATGGGGCTGCCCCCCAAGTGTGGGGCACACAATGGGTGTCTATGGGGCTGCCCCCCAAGTGTGGGGCACCCCCTAACTCCCCTTTCTCTCCCCCCTGCCCCATAGGAGCAGCTCCTCAAGCAGCAGCAGTGGCAGCAGCAGCACCACGG